AAGTTATGTGTTTGGCTGTCTATCGTCTACCTAGCTGTGAGCTATACAATTCTTTAAAAATCATCTCATTGTCAAAACTTCGTATCTGAAGTCTTTCTTGGAGTTTCTAAGTTTTGAACTCCGTTATTCATAGAACTATTCTGCCTCCAAGGGTTGAAGAACTTCCCCTCTATAAGTGCATCCAGAACAGCGTCATTCTTCGGGAGAATGCATGACTGTAGTAGCCCAAGTTATGTTCCATCAAATTGGCATTGACAGCATGTTGAGACCATTTGGTCGTACTCTATTATGTATTGCCTGACCCAAGCATCTTTCCCGTTTACCCAAACATACACATCCTTTCACAGCTTTCTTTGAAGCTAAAACTAAGTACTCAACAAATTTCAGAACGAAGTTGGTGTGTTGGAGGCTGCAGTTCAGGAAATGCTTCAAAGAGCTGGTATGATATTTGAAATTTATAATCGTAGTGGTACGGCTCGTTATTGTTTAAGCAATTTGGAAATTCTTGCAGACATCACGTTAAGCAATGGTGATGAGCCGAGCATCGAGAAGAGGAAGAACGAGTTTATCAGATTTGGAAAGCGTAGTTTGAAGTAAGAGGACTGCTACTTTGACCAATATCAACTCCAATGAAAGGAGTAATATCTCGTCTATGAGTCTCCTAGGTGTCATGCATAATGAAAGCGCTAGATGTTTCTGATTGCGTGAGCTAAATCGTCTATTGCGACCGAAATACTCCCAAGCTCCCATAATTATATCGTGAATCCCTTAGATATGCATTTGCTGCATGTATGCCTATATATGCTATTTCAGTGATGTTAAGAGGAAAAATGAGTTTATCCGATTCGGCAAGAGAAAGAACGAGTTTATTCGGTAAGTGTGCACCTTCTTTTTCTTTATTAATGCAAAACAAAAAGGGTTCAACACTATCTCCTTTCAGATTTGGCCGATCTGACCCTCTGCTTTACGACGGTGCACCAGGTACGACATGTATGCCCATAACATTTTCTTTATTATATGTGCTCTTTTTTAGTTGAGAAACGCAAAAACGAGTTCATCCGCTTTGGCTAAACAATCCCGGGCTCGAGATATGCACTATTTAATAATGCAAGTATCAGTTAAATAAAGTGATGTTAGACTCAGACTGTTTTACATGTTAGAAGAACACAGACAGGGAAAAAGCCATAGAAATCTTCCTTAAAATAGTATCTCCTACTATTGCATTGTAGATTGAGCAGCTCAACACGAGAGTCGCGACTCCATCACTCCCAAATGAGGTGCTTATCCAGTAAATGCTGATCGTTAACGAGTTCATAATGGGACAGTGAGACCTGCTTGCATTGTTTTAGTAGAGCAGCTATGGCATTCTTGACGCAACACATGTTCCTCATTGATTTAGTAAACCATATTTTCTAAGATCTACCCATTTTCATGTTAGAATCGTTGTTTGAGAAAACGAGTTTTTTTCTCAATAAATAGAAAAGTATTAGTTGTTTAACTGAACTTTCGATTTTACAATTTATAATACAACAGTGTACTTGCTAGGACGATAACTATTCTTTTTTTCCATTACGAAGCGATGCTATTAACTTAGTTGATTCAGGCTAATGTAAAAGCACTAAGGAAAATCCATGGATAAGCTTCTTACGGCTTACAATGTTAGCACAGCTGATATCAATTAGAAAAAGGAAGTTGTGGAACTTTAAGGATCATAATGGACATGTCGACATCTTGAGTGCGAAAGTCTATCTTTGAAATTTTTGCATGTTTTCAATAAATAAGGAATGTTTGATTGAAGAAGCGAAATCTTGTAATGACTGTAGAGGAGTTCCAAATATGATAGCTCTGGAAACTACAATAAAGACATCTGTTTTCCTAAAACCTAGGAATAGTAGGGAGAGATCTGATGAATGAACTTTGAAAGAGCGTAGAAAGATGGCTGGGTATGCCTTGGAAGTATTATTTGTTCTGGAGGGAATATTTAGCAATGAGGGGCTATAGCCATTTCGCACAATTCACTTTTCATTTTAAGAGATTTCAATTTTTTTTCTTTGTGGAAACACCCCTATTTATGAAAATCTACGTTAGCATCAGTTTATGTATTTGCCTAAATTATTTTTGACCAACTGTACAGAGGAGCGGATGACCTCTCTACGGAAATGCACCTCTACGATATATCTCTGAATTTCATTTTGACATTCATTTTCAATAAAAATCATGTCTAATTTTGACAAAACAAGAGAGTATTACAATTTTTTATGCATCATGTAGTTGTCAAAGCCTCTAAATCATCACTTCCAGTTTAAAACGATGATGCTGTGGTCATAATGTATAATTATTATAGTATTTATTTGCCCTGCCAATCAAAGTTCTACTTAGTTTGGCCATAAAGCTTTGCAACACTCTCCTCATGTAGTGGCAATGGTTTTGTTTTTCTGAAGACGCATACTAGACAATGTACAATCCCACTATTGAGTTAAAATGCACATTTGAAGAAAAAACAGTTACACTAAAAGGCTCGCATACTCAACGAGAGTACGAGGTAAAAAGAAAAGTTTGGGAAATTTTAAATACCACTCTAATACCATCGTCGAGAAAGGTAAAGCCAACCAGAATGACTTATTGAAGTATTCTTAGGTCTCTTCTTCAAACTGGCAAATTCAAGATCTAAGTATCATCTCAAAGAGTTACTCTGTGTTTTAAAATTTTTTTCAAACACAGCCTTCTGTATAGTTTCCGTTCACTCATATTCTGGACTTAACGGAGTGTAGCGTATTAGATGAATATGTCTATGCAATTGTATGAATTGATGATAGAGAAAAAACGAAGTGGTTGTCTAACGTTGCAAAAACTACTGATAGAACATTTATGAACTTCTCTGACAGCATTTGTCATGTATCATCCTATGCAGATGTGTCATGTAGAGCATTGCGCTTCTCAGCTTGGGAACGTATAGAAAGGGGCATGAAAAGAAGGAAAATGTGGATATACAGCAATCGTTTTGGGAACTAAAGAGTTTAGCCGTTTATTGTACAGTCCTCCTACCTTTTCAAAACTTTTGTAGAAGTTTGTCTGTATTAGTGACACCCTTTAGTTTTTATAGGCTATTACCTTTACCGCAATCGTTGGTGTTTTCGTTATTTTGAAGATTAAAGTCATCGTACCTTCAACAGCACCTGAGAATAAACTGCATATTTTTCCTATTTTAGTGGACATTTCTTTTGAGCGGCTGTCTAACTCTCCAGTTCGATGAAAATACATGTTGTCCTTTATAGCGTACGACCACAGAAGAATTTT